GTAACACACATATAGTCACATGACCCATGTACCAACCCCATGTCACAAGATCATGTCACATGATCAGCGCATATAGTAACACACATATAGTCACATGACCCATGTACCAACCCCATGTCACAAGATCATGTCACATGATCAGCGCATATAGTAACACACATATAGTCACATGACCCATGTACCAACCCCATGTCACAAGATCATGTCACATGATCAGCGCATATAGTAACACACATATAGTCACATGACCCATGTACCAACCCCATGTCACAAGATCATGTCACATGATCAGCGCATATGGTAACACACATATAGTCACATGACCCATGTACCAACCCCATGTCACAAGATCATGTCACATGATCAGCGCATATAGTAACACACATATAGTCACATGACCCATGTACCAACCCCATGTCACAAGATCATGTCACATGATCAGCGCATATAGTAACACACATATAGTCACATGACCCATGTACCAACCCCATGTCACAAGATCATGTCACATGATCAGCGCATATAGTAACACACATATAGTCACATGACCCATGTACCAACCCCATGTCACAAGATCATGTCACATGATCAGCGCATATGGTAACACACATATAGTCACATGACCCATGTACCAACCCCATGTCACAAGATCATGTCACATGATCAGCGCATATAGTAACACACATATAGTCACATGACCCATGTACCAACCCCATGTCACAAGATCATGTCACATGATCAGCGCATATAGTAACACACATATAGTCACATGACCCATGTACCAACCCCATGTCACAAGATCATGTCACATGATCAGCGCATATAGTAACACACATATAGTCACATGACCCATGTACCAACCCCATGTCACAAGATCATGTCACATGATCAGCGCATATAGTAACACACATATAGTCACATGACCCATGTACCAACCCCATGTCACAAGATCATGTCACATGATCAGCGCATGTGGTAACACACATATAGTCACATGACCCATGTACCAACCCCATGTCACAAGATCATGTCACATGATCAGCGCATATAGTAACACACATATAGTCACATGACCCATGTACCAACCCCATGTCACAAGATCATGTCACATGATCAGCGCATATAGTAACACACATATAGTCACATGACCCATGTACCAACCCCATGTCACAAGATCATGTCACATGATCAGCGCATATGGTAACACACATATAGTCACATGACCCATGTACCAACCCCATGTCACAAGATCATGTCACATGATCAGCGCATATAGTAACACACATATAGTCACATGACCCATGTACCAACCCCATGTCACAAGATCATGTCACATGATCAGCGCATATAGTAACACACATATAGTCACATGACCCATGTACCAACCCCATGTCACAAGATCATGTCACATGATCAGCGCATATAGTAACACACATATAGTCACATGACCCATGTACCAACCCCATGTCACAAGATCATGTCACATGATCAGCGCATATAGTAACACACATATAGTCACATGACCCATGTACCAACCCCATGTCACAAGATCATGTCACATGATCAGCGCATATAGTAACACACATATAGTCACATGACCCATGTACCAACCCCATGTCACAAGATCATGTCACATGATCAGCGCATATGGTAACACACATATAGTCACATGACCCATGTATATGTCACAAGATCATGTCACATGATCAGCGCATATGGTAACACACATATAGTCACATGACCCATGTACCAACCCCATGTCACAAGATCATGTCACATGATCAGCGCATATAGTAACACACATATAGTCACATGACCCATGTACCAACCCCATGTCACAAGATCATGTCACATGATCAGCGCATATGGTAACACACATATAGTCACATGACCCATGTACCAACCCCATGTCACAAGATCATGTCACATGATCAGCGCATGTGGTAACACACATATAGTCACATGACCCATGTACCAACCCCATGTCACAAGATCATGTCACATGATCAGCGCATGTGGTAACACACATATAGTCACATGACCCATGTACCAACCCCATGTCACAAGATCATGTCACATGATCAGCGCATGTGGTAACACACATATAGTCACATGACCCATGTACCAACCCCATGTCACAAGATCATGTCACATGATCAGCGCATATAGTAACACACATATAGTCACATGACCCATGTACCAACCCCATGTCACAAGATCATGTCACATGATCAGCGCATATGGTAACACACATATAGTCACATGACCCATGTACCAACCCCATGTCACAAGATCATGTCACATGATCAGCGCATATGGTAACACACATATAGTCACATGACCCATGTACCAACCCCATGTCACAAGATCATGTCACATGATCAGCGCATATGGTAACACACATATAGTCACATGACCCATGTACCAACCCCATGTCACAAGATCATGTCACATGATCAGCGCATATGGTAACACACATATAGTCACATGACCCATGTACCAACCCCATGTCACAAGATCATGTCACATGATCAGCGCATATGGTAACACACATATAGTCACATGACCCATGTACCAACCCCATGTCACAAGATCATGTCACATGATCAGCGCATATGGTAACACACATATAGTCACATGACCCATGTACCAACCCCATGTCACAAGATCATGTCACATGATCAGCGCATATGATCAGCGCATATCACAAGATAACACAGCATATAGTCACATATAGTCATGACCCATGTACCAACCCCATGTCACAAGATCATGTCACATGATCAGCGCATATAGTAACACACATATAGTCACATGACCCATGTACCAACCCCATGTCACAAGATCATGTCACATGATCAGCGCATATAGTAACACACATATAGTCACATGACCCATGTACCAACCCCATGTCACAAGATCATGTCACATGATCAGCGCATATAGTAACACACATATAGTCACATGACCCATGTACCAACCCCATGTCACAAGATCATGTCACATGATCAGCGCATATAGTAACACACATATAGTCACATGACCCATGTACCAACCCCATGTCACAAGATCATGTCACATGATCAGCGCATATAGTAACACACATATAGTCACATGACCCATGTACCAACCCCATGTCACAAGATCATGTCACATGATCAGCACATATGGTAACACACATATAGTCACATGACCCATGTACCAACCCCATGTCACAAGATCATGTCACATGATCAGCGCATATGGTAACACACATATAGTCACATGACCCATGTACCAACCCCATGTCACAAGATCATGTCACATGATCAGCGCATATAGTAACACACATATAGTCACATGACCCATGTACCAACCCCATGTCACAAGATCATGTCACATGATCAGCGCATATAGTAACACACATATAGTCACATGACCCATGTACCAACCCCATGTCACAAGATCATGTCACATGATCAGCGCATATAGTAACACACATATAGTCACATGACCCATGTACCAACCCCATGTCACAAGATCATGTCACATGATCAGCGCATATAGTAACACACATATAGTCACATGACCCATGTACCAACCCGATGTCACAAGATCGTCGAATGTACGTAGTGACAACATGTCACATGATCTATGCATATAGCGACATCATGTCACATGAACGATGCATGTAGTGAGACCATGTCACATGATCGATGCATGTATCGACACCATGTCACATGATCGACACATGAAGTGACATCATGTCACATGATCGACACATGTAGCGACATCATGTCACATGATCGACACATGTAGCGACATCATGTCACATGATCGACACATGTAGTGACACCATGTCACATGACCTACGTATTTAGTAACATTGCGAATTGACACTTTGTCATGTGACCAAAGTATATAGCGACGGCACGTATTGACACCATGTTACATGGTCGACACATATGAATGTGCAGACAGATGCTTGGCAATAGCCTTTAATCTCCTATAAATAAAGAGAATAAATAGCATGTTTAAAATTGCCTCTTTTTTCTACAATACACCACGAATACAGGTGTGCCTAAGAAGTCCTGCTGGTACTCCACAACAGAGGTTGAACGCAACCCGGACTTTCCACCCTGTGCCAACAATGTAATCATGGCCACTGGACTGAAAAGAATTAAACTGATTAATTACACCGTCATCTGGAGGGAAAGGTATAAACAGAACACAATTCATTTCTTATCTTTCAAAAGATTAATAGATCAATTCATTTCCATTTCTGTCGTCAGAAATAGAGTTAAATTGGATAAGTACATCAGATAAGGCCTGTATCGGCGTGTATAGATTAAGGTACATGTATGTGTATGAGTAAAGGGTCTGGCGGTCCCTGGGACTGTGGTACATATCTACTTATCCTTAGTCTTTCAAGTATCCATTCTGTAGGCTGAACACATCAAAAGGACTACTGAATATTGAACATTGCCAGGTAGGGTTTCTTGTTTGTCAAAGGAGTTTTCGCAATTGAACAAATGAAGTGAAACTAAATCACATCACGTAAACATCTAAGGCTGAGCAGGCTTAATGGATTTCTATTAGAAAAATGCTTTTCATGATTATTAGCTTATTGGAGAAAGGTTTATTCGTTCTTCTCGACCCACACAGACGTTTCAGATCTGAACGGGGCTGCATTGTAAATGTCTCGTCGTGGGAAGCGATGTAGACGGGGTTCGGTTTTCGACGCCATCGTTTCTCGACCGTGTACATTGTTGTTCATGTTATCAGTCACTGGTTTCCGTGTAATAATCTCGATAATTTAAAGACTGTCCAGTCGCTTTATTGATTGTAGTTTGAATCAATAATCACACTCTCACATCTCGCTATTTCCATATCCCTTAACAGATTGCCAGACGCGAGTAATTATTGATTCAATGTTGCATCGCCTTTGCAAATCAATTACTCTGAAAACAATGCATTGCCCTGATATTGCTATTGCTATTATTTATCTGTTTCAGCGGGGACCGAAAATGCCCATATCCAGCGGCGCGCTCGACTGGCCGGTTAGTTATTATTCCAAACCGACAGCCGTGGAAAACGTCGTCACCGGATACGACAACCTTGACCCCTGGTCACGTCATCATGCCTACCGTAACTGGACATGGAAGAAGATGCGAAACAATCGGAAGAAGAAGAAGGTATAGGTTTGGCTATCCCATGTATTTATGTATCTGATCTACAACATTATGTTTGTAACACATATATTTAGACTTTTGTAAACAGTACCAGCAAGACAAAGTTGTGTTTGATTATCCCATGTCTAAATGTACACGCAAATAAAAATGAACTTTGGGACCATTTATCAAATATTACATGTATACACATATGTAATTTATGTATGAGTTTGTAAACTGTTTCAGTATGCTTTGAAGGCTTTCTTATGAAACAAAAAAGACCGACAAAATATTAAAAATGCACCTAAGGGCAGTATATACTTAAAACCAATTCTATGACTCATATACATCTGACTGGAAGAGCCGTTCACTTTATAAGAATATATTCCAAACATTTGGCATAACTGTACATGTCAATATATAAATTTACAACTGTGATGGTGCGCAAAATCAAACAATTCCAAACCTTATTCCAAAGATGAGGGCACATATGGGAATGCAGTATCCTATGTTGTGTTGTAGGGGCTCGCGCCGAGCCTCCTTTTAAATGCCCGATTAGCTTTGCAATCACCACAGCGTAAACATGACAGTACAGGTGATGTATTGGGACACATTGCTAGATGTTACAGTGGCGTGTTAAAAGATAGGCTATGCGTATAATGGTATTACGAAGATTTTACAAACCGATTATATTTTTGCCTAAAGGACAAAGACTCCCCCGAAGAGAAACGGCTTCACCGTAGGCGATGTTGCTGTTGTGTGTTATGGTGGTTGACGGCGCTGCTTCTCATCATCCTGACTCTCGTTCTCTTCATGGTGTTCTGGACCAGTACGTATAACCGTTCAGTTCTGTACTTATCTAGCTTCAATGTCGTGTGTGAATTTCACAATATAAAGCACGCACACGTGAAAGTAGTAAAGTTTATTTATCTGTTCATGCCTAAAAAGTCACTTTCACAGGTTACGGTATCGTAAAAGAGAACGAAGTTGAATTACCCATAAACCCTCTTTAACATGGATTCGTGTTAGCAACACGACTTCGCTCAAATTTGTAACCTGATTAATTGCGATCCCCTGTACAACCTTACAAATGCTTCATCATATTCTTCAGATGATAAGGTTTTCGAACGATATAAAGAAACTGTTCCAGACAGAGGCGAAAGAGGAGGTATCTCAGTATCCAAATCCATTTGGTTTCCCATCGTAGGTTTTGAAGCTTATGTTTGTAGTTACCCAAAAAGACGAAGGAGAAAGATCAATAATCAATCTACAGAGACTGAATAGGTTTATTCCTAACGATCGCTTCAACATGAGAATCTCTGCTCCTGAAACACATCATCATACATGAGAACATGAGCAAGCAAGACCTGGAGGATGCATACTTCCGTGACCCGATGGCGAGTCAACAAAGAAAATCGATCTTCTCCATGGAAAGGAAAAACTATTTCAGTTTCTCTAGCTTCTATTCTGCATTTCATCCACACAACGTGTGATTACCAAATTGTTAAAACCTTGTAGGGATTCGAATCATCATCTATCTGGATGATATGACTGTGTGCTTGCAACCCAGAGATAAATGTGTGTTGTAGAGATAGTCTCTTGCACCTTCTGAAGAATCATATCTAGAAATTGGTACTGATGCCCTGCCAGAATATCAGCTGCCTTGGGGTCAAGATATATTTTCAGTGCCTTACTTAAACTTAACCACAGCACAAAATGGCCAACTTCCTTCAGAGATAACATGATGCACTAATACATAAAGTGACAAAAACAGGTCTCCTGGTGACCTTGCTTGAGTCACTGAGGGCTTCGATTTGAGCAATTATTCAATCGTAGCTACACTGCAAATTCATTCACACGAATGTGTCGAATGTGATTGATCACGATGTGCAACCAGATTCGATCCGTGAAGCAGTGGGGACAACAGGAAAGTTGCTCATCAATTCTCGGGTACTGAAAGCGGTGTTGACAGTCTTGTGAACAAGATAGACAAGATAGACCTTTCTGCATGTTGTCCCAGCCACCAAACAGAGGGATATATCTGAGCTGGAGATAGAACAGAAGATGCATTTAGGATAGCGCAAAGAGGTCAAACATTAGTCTTTTTCTTTTATTTGGTAGATGGTCCTGGAAATCAAGGCGGATGGAGCCGTATTGACCCTAAAAGATCCTGTATGTTAGAGCAAGATATGGTACCCAGCACTGCTTGGGTGCCCAATGTTTCTGTCAGGTTGTACAGGTCGCAGTACTTTGTGTCAAGGTCATACCCACATGGGTGCAATGTGTGAAGCCCATATATGGTGTCCCCCGCCGTGATATTGCTGGAATATTGCTGAAAACGGCGTGCATCTAAACTCGCTCGTTATTAAAGTCACCCTAATAGAAATTGTTTCAGGAGATCACTTTTCGTTGTTGCTTTTGTAGCACTTCAACATAATGAAGAATGATTTATGGGTAAAGTTTAACCTCGATCCCGCATACGAGACCGTAAGCCTAGACCGGGACCAATTTTAGAATGACAAGACATCGCCATCACATCAACTTCATTTTACTAATGGAACCAATACCTGCCTCAGAAGGTGTGTATCAACTTCCCGTGTGTATCTGCCGTTAAGCATCACTGTGTGGAACAGTTAGACTAACGCTTAGTCTCTGAATATGTATAATTTTGATAGTAACAAATTGATTAACCCATTTAAATTGAAAAGGAGGGAAATTCAGATGGCCAGGCAGATGGGAAATCATGAGGTTCAGGGACTGTGAGACAGACTATGGAACAGTGTGTATCTGGTGATAAGTAACACTGTTCAGAACACTGTACATATGAACATATGGGGATTATTCAAATAGAACAGTGTGTATCTGGTGATAAGTAACACTGTTCAGAACACTGTACATATGGGGATTATTCAAATAGAACAGTGTGTATCTGGTGATAAGTAACACTGTTCAGAACAGTGTACACATGGGGACTATTCAAATAGAACAGAGTGTATCTGGTGATAAGTACGCTGTTCAGAACAGTGTACATATGGGGATTATTCAAATAGAACAGAGTGTATCTGGTGATAAGTACGCTGTTCAGAACAGTGTACATATGGGATTATTCAAATAGAACAGAGTGTATCTGGTGATAAGTACGCTGTTCAGAACAGTGTACATATGGGGATTATTCAAATAGAACAGAGTGTATCTGGTGATAAGTACGCTGTTCAGAACAGTGTACATATGGGGATTATTCAAATAGAACAGAGTGTATCTGGTGATAAGTAACACTGTTCAGAACAGTGTACATATGGGGATTATTCAAATAGAACAGAGTGTATCCGATAGTAACTACAGTTTTAAAAGAGCGGTGTGTACTGATAACTGGTGTAAATTACGTCATGGCACAGCGAGTCACTTATGCTTGCTCGAAACACGTCACAGCTTTTTTTTTAAATATTTGTGACAATGGATAAATAAGAACGTACAGTCAAACACTGTTGTGTCGATAAAATCGCAAATTGATGGATAAAAACGGAATACGCATGGATCATATTTGGTTCGAGACGGCCGTAAATTTGACGGTGTTTGACTGTATTTGTCTTGATAATCAACATTCCATGTACGTCATACTGGCATCGCAATATAGTTGCATGAACCATTTCGAATAGAAAGGGGATATGACCAACAGTTGTTTTATTCCATCAGGATACAGAGGCAGCAACCTCCCAGATATAAACTTTGACGAGTACGAGAATATTCCCTCCTGCCACGGCACGTGGAGAAAGACGTTCATACTGTGCAACAGCAGCACTCGTCCCAATGTCACTTACCAGTGTTGTTACGGGGTGGACGCCCTGAAGGCTGTATCAGGTCATGGCGACGCATGGCCTGGTGGTTGGACATTTGATGGACCGTGTAAGGGATGCAAGCTAAAAGCTTTTTCCAAAGTAGAATGTTTTAAAGATGAAGGCTTGAAGTCAACTTAAATGTCATCGCTAACTGTGAATATAGTACTTTCCAAAGTGTATTGCACACGAACACAACATTTGGTGAATTGTCGCCAAAATACAGCACCTTGAATTAAAACTGGGAGAAAAATCGCATGGAGAAAAAGCTGTATGTTGCACGTGCAAATACGGGTACTCAAGCTTCATACCGGCGGGTATAATAAAAATCTGGCAGTCCCGTTGCAAATCCCTCTAAGCTGTTCCGCATATGCGACCCTCAAGATGCCAAGACTGAAGACTGTAGAAACAGAGCCTTTGGACGTCTGGAAGCTGGAGAAAGTCAGTCACCAGTAGCCATGCACTTCAACGTGAGGCAGAGTACCATTCCCCGTCTGTAGCAGCGCTACAGACTCCACAACTCTTCAAGAGATCGACCGAGAACTGATAGACCAAGGGTCACAACTCCAGCGCAGGACCGCATCATCCGGGTGTTGCATCTTCGCAACCGGCCAGTAAGTGCAGCATACACAGCCAACAATGTTCCTGGACTTCGTAGAGTATCAGCACAAACCATCAGAAATCGCCTACGACAGCATGGGATACGACCAATGCGACCATATCATACGATGCCGACAGCCTCAACCACAGACGCTACAACAGCTGAGCCATGCATTGCAGGCTCCATGAGTGGAGAAGGATCTACAACGCCAGATTCGACGACTCATTCAGTCCATGCCCAGTCGGTGTAGAGCAGTGATCGATGCTCGTGGTGGTCACACCAGGTACTGACTTTGTCACGGTGCCGTCACAGACACAGATGTCCCCAACAGCAGTAATGACTGCATGTAGTGGAGGAAACATGTGCCTAACCCTGTGTAATATTTGGTTGTTGTACATTCTTTATTTATTGTGTAATCCGATTTTATAAAACACGTAAAGGTAAACTGATATTTTGGTTTTGCGTTTCTTTTTTTTGGGCCAGTGTATTATGGTCACACTCAACTATAAAAAAATATGTCTCATATGAGAGATATTATTGGGGGGTGGGGGGTGGAGAGAGGTGTTATTACACCTCTCTCCCTCAATAAGGGGGATATGGAGGGATGTTTAAGGAAAGATGGAGGGTGGTGTTAGGCAGAGATATTTGGGAGTGTGTATGGAGAGACTGAGGGAGGTGTTTGGCACAGATACGGGGGCAGGTATTATTGAGATAGGGAGCAGGAACTTGGATGCCGTTCTGTTTACAGCAAGTACGTCCCAGCTGAGATATGTTCATGGGAACGATCGGGGAATTAAGTTTGGTAGCTTGTCCAATTCCCTCCCATATATATGCGTAATTCCTGAAATATTCCATTTCCACTTAATCAGGAAAACTTGTTGTGTACGGCTAGATACATGACACCAGCCGTTATTATAACATTAAACACAATATGGCATCTATCTCAAGCTATTCAGACATAGATCCTAATGTGCTAATCACCACACTAGCCGTTCCCTTAAACATTGGGCACGTAGTGAGTGACATGTTTTATTTTGTTGAGATTAATCAGTCTTTTTGCGTTTTGCTCCACCAATTAAAATGTATATTAGTTTCATTTTGAAGCTAAGTGTGAAATTTATATTTTACTTCGTGTGCCTTGAGCTTCGAGAGCTTCAGAATGATCTTTCGTCAAGAGGCACCAGCCCCCTGAGAGAATCAAAACAAATGGAACACGGTCGGTCAAACATCACTGTGTCTGGTAATCCAGATTGTCTCTTGTAAACTCAGCAGCAAGTTACGATGGCCCAGGAATGACGTCTTCGTGTTTTAACATTCCTAATAAGGTACACAGATATGTTCAGTTGGTACCTGCGTGAGTCATTCACTATATCCCAGGTCATACACTATATCCCAGGTCATACACTATATTCCAGGTCATACACTATATCACAGGTCATACACTATGGTTTCACTGGTAGGTCTCCCTCACTGTGATTTATTTGTGACCTTGACCTCTCAAAGTAATCAGTTAAACGTCCTGTCAAATGTGTGGAGTGAACACCAATGCTTACTTCTAAATCTGTTTTTGAGAAGTTATTAAGTGAGTTGACTTACTGGTCGACTTTGTATGAGCTTGGTTAGAGATAGTTTCAACAGTCGTGACCGTTTCTACTTACAATATATGCAGCTAATGAAACCAAACTGGTCGACTTTGTATGAGCTTGGTTAGAGATAGTTTCAACAGTCGTATACGTTTCTACTTACAATATATGTAGCTAGTGAAACCAAACTGGACGACTTTGTATGAGCTTGGTTAGAGATAGTTTCAACAGTCGTATACGTTTCTACTTACAATATATGTAGCTAGTGAAACCAAACTGGACGACTTTGTATGAGCTTGGTTAGAGATAGTTTCAACAGTCGTGACCGTTTCTACTTACAATATATGTAGCTAATGAAACCAAACTGGTCGACTTTGTATAAGCTTGGTTAGAGATAGTTTCAACAGTCGTGACCGTTTCTACTTACAATATATGCAGCTAATGAAACCAAACTGGTCGACTTTGTATGAGCTTGGTTAGAGATAGTTTCAACAGTCGTGACCGTTTCTACTTACAATATATGTAGCTAGTGAAACCAAACTGGTCGACTTTGTATGAGCTTGGTTAGAGATACAATGTAGTTTCAACAGTCGTATACGTTTCTACTCACCATGTATGAAGCTAGTGAAACCAAGATGAGTGCAGCAGCTATACTTAGAACGAACTAAGGAGAACCCAAATCACCAGCTATATATAGCCCTTATGTACTTAGTATATCTTTATGGCTTGGTGTAATGAAGCTGAGAAACCTAGTATGTGCTCCAACCATCATCATGTAGCAAAAGTAATTGAACAAAATTCATAAGTGAGTCTTAAACATTTCCTTGAAGTTCTTTGCAGCGCGGAGGATGACGACTCCACAATTTGCCCAGGTGGGAAATCAAATGCTTCAGTCAATAGGCAATTTACCAGACCTCGTCAGAGATAGAACACTAACGCTATACGTCCCTAAAACAGTGCTAAACAGGCACGGCTTCATGGAATGAAGATATTTCATTCCAGGTTCATCGATGCCAACCTAACACCTCATGAAGGAGTCACGAGAACATGTGAGGAAGAAACTGTAGACGTCTACGCGGCAGTTTGAATGTAGGAGAATTTCAAAGTTAGGAAGGCAGTCGAGACGTCGATACAGTTATCTCAACTAAATACCACATAGTGACAGTTACCATATAGGGACGTCCACACAAAGGTGCCAGACTTGCACCTTTAAATTAGAATGCACTGTAGTCGTCTACACTGTCGACCCGTGAAGGTCCGGGTTACAATATTGATCTTCAGTAACCCATGCTTGTCGTAAGAGGCGACTAACGGGATCGGGTGGTCAGGCTCGCTGACCTTGTTGACACATGTCATCGGTTCACAATTGCGCAGATCGATGCTCATGCTGTTGATCACTGGATTGTGTGGTCCAGATTCGGTTATTTACAGACCGCCGCCATATAGCTGGACTATTGCTGAGTGCGGCGTAAAACTAAACTCACTCACTCAGTAGACTGTCAGACCAAGACACCACATTGACATATCTCTACAGATACATCCTCGTCATTTACCCCACACAGGCCTTGTGTTTTCATACGAACCTATTGATTGAAGAGTTTATTTCGTGCACATCATATTTACCGAGTGCAAGCTGGTGGTCAAAATCAAAGACAGAATAAACACTTGCACTAGCTGAGTATTAAGCAACATTCAAACTACAGGTGTTTCGCGTGCAATTGTTAGCCTCCTGTAAAGCAAATCCGAGGCTATTGGACCTTGCAGTAAACCGTTTCCGTGAACTGTCAGTAGAATATTGATATTTGTAGCAAGCTCGGATTAGGAAGATATTGGATGTGATTAAACCTAGTGACACTTGTGAGATCCTCGGGGTTACATTATGGGGGTTGTGTGAGTATTTACAGTACCAGTATGCTTTAGTTTAGCTGTGCCTCACAGTTTAAATATATCACTTATTATATACAATACAACTCGACAAGAAGGAGTATAGTATACTGACGACACGAAATATGGAAACTAATATACTCATGCCAATAATGGTTGTCACCCTCCTCCCCACCCCAACCCCACACACACCTCACACACCTCACACCCCCACCCCACACCCCCTCGCCAATTAAAAAATTGAAGTGGGTGACAACCATTATTGGCATGAGTATATTTAGAACGTAGCATTCATTTTGGTGTACCTTTACAATACAGTGGCATTTCATCTGAACATAATTTAGTCACTTCATGCATGAAGAGCACGTGATGTTGGTACACACAGATGCAAATGGGGTGTGCTGGCAAGGTTACATACACTGATGCAGATCGGCTCGTAATACACTGGAGAACTCCTTCGAGCGAAGAATGGTGGATACGATGGACGGGGTGGGCGGATGGGAGACGCCAATATTCCAAGTTGCCTAAATATTTGGCATGTCAAAAAGTGTAATTCCTCGATTGTGGGACAATTACCGAATGGGTTTCAGTGAGACCTGGACGAGTGAGGTCTAAAAATGAGTACATGATGTTCTCGTTCCGTTATAAAAGTGCACGGCCTTTTTTGCATCAAACCTGTTCCCGTTGTCAATAGAAAAACCTGTACAACATCAGGCGATATATATCCGTTTAAAAAACAGCTATATGCAGCCCGCCTGAGAGCAAGGCGTCCTGTGAAGGGTGTTACCTTAACTGCTTAATACTAATAAGGCTTTAAACTGGGATGAACAAGGTAAGACACTAGACAGTCTGTGTGCCCGTTACACTATGTTTACTGACTATTCAACGTTTTACCTCCGATTCGCGAAGGCAGAAGACGTTGTTTGGCGACTTACAACAACACTTCTTCTCCATCACCGGTATGGGGACCGTGATGCCAGGGTGGGGGTGGTTTAACCACCACCACTACTACTAGTGCTACTATTGCTACTACTGCTGCTACTTTTACCATTACTATTTTACTACAGTTGCTACTTCCACTGCTACTTCTACACTTGCTACTACTCACTACCATTACTGCTACTACTGCTGCTGCTACTGCTGTTACTACTATTACTACTACAATTGCTACTACTGCTGCTGCTATTACTACTACAATTGCTACTACTACTACTATTACTACTACTGCTGCTACTACTGCTACTACTACCATTGCTACTATACTATTACTGCTACTACAACTGCTTACTGCTACCATTACTGCTACTACTACACTGCTAACTGCTTACTACTACAATTGCTACTTACCACCATTACTGCTACTACTGCATTACTGCTACTACTGCTACTACTACCATTACTGCACTCACAACTGCTGCACCACTACTTGCCACTACTACACTGCTACCATCACTGTGCTACTACTACCATTACTGCCACACTACTGCTGCTACTACTACTACACACTACTACTCACCACTTACTGCTGTTCTTGCTCACTACAATG